ACTGCGTGGTGGACATGTGTTCTGCACACCCTCTATTTTCCCTCTCGGCTCGAAATCCCGACTAGCGGTATGATGATGGGGAGAAAGAGGTCTACTACCTCCTTTACCCCGACCTGAGCACAGTAGTGGGATATAAGCCAGAGAGTAGCAATAGTGATAGCTCTAATACCCCATGATGACCTTCCCCCGCTTTCTCTCCATCTGCTCTTGCTAGTTGCATACCACTCCTCACCATCATCGTCATTAGGATCCTCACGACCCCGTGAACGGTGATAACGATGACTATGAGCAGTGCTGGCGTCCAAGTCGTCTCTCTGACCATCACTGAAAAGGCTTCATTAGGCCATCACAGCAGCGACACTGCTACCGGCTCCGGGCTCGTCGAGGAGACCCAGCAGCATCGCGATCATCATACCATCGAGAACCCTCTCTACTAGGATGACGAGATCCTGAACGTGAATATAGTTCATACGATACGAGGAGGTAGAAGGGCATACGATCTCTCTGCCTCCGACCCCTACGACTCTCTTCCTCAATACGTTGACCATCACCATGGCTACCACGATGACTGATATCGAGCGATGATAGACTAGCTTCATTCTCAACCTACTCTATATGAGCTTCGTAGCTAGCATGAATACCCCCACTATGCTTTGGCCGTTTATCATCTTCCCTGTCTCCTTTATCATCTCCACTAGAGATGGAATCTTCATATTCTAAACCCATAGACTACTGTCATTACCTTCCTTGCTTATACCAAGATTGGCCATCCCTCGGACCCTCCTCCTCTCGGTCCCTATCTTCCTCCTGACTATCCTTCAAAACAGCCCGACGTGGTCGGATGTGGCGTCGGCTATCACCACTACCATCATCGTATCTATTCCCAGCATAGCCCTAATGCCCCTATAATAGGAATACTACTCCTCATTGCTTATGGCCTCACGTGAGGATGATGATGATGTGCGCCTTTTCCTGTCCTGCCCGAGTAGAGATGGAGTAGCAGCAGGTGTAAGAGTAACTCCTATCCGACTATCACCAGACTGGTGTCGGCGTGATCGTGTGGATGTCTGATAGTAGCCATCACCCTATCTCCTATGATCCTCCCTTCCCTACATGTTGGTCCTCATCTTTATCTTCCTCCCTAGATCGCTTACTAGTAGGGCTTCGACTGCTACTCCCTCGGATGTCCGACCACTCAGCCTTACCGCCCT